AAGGCAAACAAAGGGTTAACTAAAACCCACAACACACATAAAAATCCCCCACCTGTAAGAATATGTTATTCTGTTATACCTACAAGAAAGATATACATGGGAAAGATATGATGGGTCCACTTCTGTGGTTGTCCATTTTACACTTGGAATACACTTGTATCTACAGAAAAGCCTTGTCATGGAGCCCGGTGAGAAGGTGGCTATTACTGGCCCGATCCTGTCTCTTAACGTTTGATTTGGAACCTTGTTGTCTCTGCCTCTTCCCTGCCGCTTGTATGAGCAATGGGTCTTTGTACCTGGATGTGACTTTGTGTAATGTACAGCAGTTTCTCTTAACCAGTGAGAACTTTGGGATAATTTTTCTAAATGCTCAAAATCAGAAATAGAAAGCAAGAATCATTGAAAAATTCCATGCATTAACTAAATATTATTCTGGGGAAAAGGAATCTTCATATTTTTTGCTTCAGGGCTCTCATCAAACATGTGTCTTGCATTACCTTTCACTAAATATCTCTTTGACTGTTTTTGCTTGTGTTAAACAATCAGGAACAAATTTGGCATGTAGTTTGTTAATGCTCAACAATGAGGACCACTCCAGAATTAAAAAGTTTGTCCTAGACTTCAGGCTGCAGATAATATCTCTAGCTTCCTTTTTATTTATTTTTTTTAAATTTGTTTAAAGCAGTGTTCCAGAATCCAGACTAAAAAGGAGCTGTGTATTGTGTCTGAGGCTTTAGATCTTGCAGAGATTGGATTTATCGAACTTTTGTTGTTCTGCCTTTAAATGGCGTCACTTGTCTGTAGCCTGTAGGCCCAGACTATGCAGCTGATTTATTTTATTGTTTTACTTTTAAATGTGGGAATTGCTTTAGGCATTTATGCTAATATTCATATTTTATGAATTAGTGTTGTATTGTTACATCCATTCTATTGGAGGAAACTCTAGTATTCATGCAATTGACTGAAATGGGAATGAACAGCATAATAGAGATTAGTTGACAAAAGTTGACATAAACCCTACATTTTGAATAAAACCAGGGAAATTTGGTAGCTGCTATGTGAAACTGCTTTATCTATTGCGTTCTGCATCCATTCACTTGAAAGTCATGCTCTTTGTCACCCTTTTGATATCATCATGGTTCAGAATTTTGGCAGCAAAGATAACTTACTCTTCATGTGGACAGTGGTTTTTTTGTTTTGTTTTGCTTCTAATCACTGTCAAGACGTGGCACTCAGCAACTAATTATTCTCCTGTCTATCGCCTCACTTTCAGAAAAAGCATCTTTTTTTTTCTGCTGACTTTTAAGCCAGGACTTGAACAGATCTACTAGGTCACTAAGTCTGGTCCTGCCCCCTGGACAGGAATCATGTTCTAGCCTGCATGGCAACAACATAGTTAATTTATTTGCTTCCTTTTTCTCTAGTGTTGATTTGCTTGTTGTATTTGTAAGCCTGATCTTAGTAGCTCTCTGAGTTTTAGAATTCTGATGGAAGATAGAAACTCTGATTTCACAATTTGAAGAAAATATAATTGTACGTGGGTGAAGAATTAGATGTGGGAGATTCCCAAGATCAGACTCCAACTCATCCGTGTTCTTTGGGCCTCCAAGAGGGAACAGTGTAGTTCTGCTTCCTTTGGAAAGGTCAAGTTGGTTCTAGGTAGGTTCACACCTGAATGCAGTTGTAATATTTTTTTTGTGAAAGACCACTTCACAAAGCTATTTTACTCTCGATTTTCTTTTATTTTGTTTTACTCCTCAATAACATAGTATCCTACATCAGTTCCATTTCTACTCCATTTTTGCAGAATCTGAGGGATAGTAAACATACAAGCTTACTTCTGATAAGCTCTTGCCACTTTATGTGACTACTGTTGTTTTCTGATAGCACTTTTGTGACTACTTTGCATTTGATTTTTAATCCACTTTATTTGTCAGCTTTGGGATAGTTTTCTAGTTCAAAAGACAGCAAAGGATTCCCACTATATGCTGGCACCAGCAAGTTAGTTATGCTATCAATACAAGATGTTTTGGACTTGAGCGATAACAATAGGAGCTGAAATCAACAGTTCCCCCAATGTCTTCTTTACCAAATTCAGTTTCTTCAATTTATTTGGAATACACAACTTTAGAGTGAAGTTTCTGAACTTTTTTTTGCGTAACATACTGTATTGTTTCTTTTGTTGTTCTGCCTTTCCAGCAAGTATGGTTTGGTAGCAACATCATTTGAAGAGATTCTGTTCTTTTTTAAATTTTGTATACACTTCTTTTACTTTTGTTTTTTTTTTTTTTTTTTGATAGAATTGAAAATACTTGTTTGGTTGTTATTACAGATTGCAACTTAATTGTTGGAAAGATTTGATCTATACCTTGCTACCCAAGATCTACTTTATTTTATAACCTTTTTGTAGCTGCAAAGAAACAAATCTATAACAGTTTCTCTTTACAAGAAGAAAATCTCTTATTGACCCAGATTTATCTCAGTTCCAGGCTTGAATGAAATGTTTGTTCCATTAAAAAAAATATTTAGAGTGATGATTCCCTATTAGAAGACTATTGCAGGTTATCCTAATTTTATCTTTCTGAATGACATTAATTTTATTTTTGAAATCCAAAAAAACCTGACTATCGTATCCTAGTTTTAAATTCCAAATAGTATATTACATGGATTTAAAAGTTACATAGGAATTTCTTGCTAATCCCTATGTAGGTGATGTGAGTAGCCATGCCTTGAATTTAGATCTTTAACCTTGTGAACATCAGTTATGATATACTTGTTTTCCAATGTTAAAATTTTTGGTTAAAGAGCAGTAATTTTTTGCTGTTGAGACATCCCACCCCAAAAGGGAAGGGAACACACAGGTGTGCAGATGCTCATGGTCAACAAGGAATGACAAAAGCCAGAAGGTTGGTAAAAGCTTACAGAGTTTTATTAGCAAATTATACACTTGTCATGGAAATTGATATATTATTCCCTCATTTCCCAGTATAAGCACACAGTGGTGGGTTCTGAATAAAGAGGTAGAGTGAGTGAGAGAAACTGGAGGGAGGGAGGGACAAAGATCACCAGTCCTTGTTCCAGTGCTGATCCAGCTATTGAGATGTCCAGAGTCCTGGAGCCATGAATAGTCAATGAAGTCCTGGAGCTTCATGGGGGTACTTATTTATAGATAAGTTTCTTGCTTTCTATGCAAATCAGTTGTCATGCACAGTTCATTCCTCTAGACATTTCTGGAAATAGATTGGAGGGCTTCGGGAGGTCTCTGGTGTCTTGATCCTCCTCTGCTGGGTTGGCTTTTGGTCAGCAATCCTTTTTCTTGACCTCATTCCTGTATGTCCAACTGTGCTTATCTCCAGGAGCCAGAACAAGGATTTCTGTCCCAGAAAATTGCTGCCCTGCCCCTGCAAGGCCCCCTTCTCCAGCCACATCCTGTTACTTCTCACAGCATGTTATTACCAAGGATCCTTGGTTGGCAGCACAGCGATCTGGCTGTTCATGTTTTAGACACAGACATTAGTCCCTTATCTTCAGGGCTTCTACAGCTGTATTTTCACTCCACTGCAGCTAGTTTGGCATCTGTGAGAAAAGGGAATAAAATATCTTCATAATCAATGGTTATTAAGATTTAAGAAGGGAAAAAATCAAATTAAACTGTTGGCCAGCCAACCACATCCTCAGAAAACCTATACTGTAAGTTCAGTGAGTTTCTCAAGTTTCCTTTCCTAAGTAGTTCCAATGGCAGAGTTCAGGGTCAGGTTTTTCCTTCTCTTCTGCTGTTCAAACATCAGTGTACAAACTTGTATCTGAAAATGTAAGTGAATCAAAGTTGGCAATGAATCAGTGAATCATATGGCAAACATCTTCTGAGTACTTTTTCGAGCTTTTAGGATGTGAATTGGATCATTACATTCTTTACTCTGGCTAACCTAATTCTACCTTTTCTAATCTCTTTTCTGTTAAATAATTTTTAAATAATTTTGCCAGTGTGGCTGTAGATGATACAGCCTCCTGGCACTACAACAGTAGCGCTATAACTTGAAAAAATAAGTATATGCTTCCTGACATGAACTAACAGTTTTAGTTATCTGTATTTTCTTTTTTCCTCCAAGTGGCTCACAAGGGTTTTCATCAGTGTGATTAGTACAATGTAAAACTCAGCAACCTATGTAGAGTGAATATTAACGTCTTTCTTCTATGCAATGGTTGAATCCTGGCATTGAAAATTATTTCATCTAGAATCATGTCATTTTACAGATAAGAGTCCTCTTCTGGCATTACTTGTTTCTCCTAACAATGATATAAAATTTACATCAAGTTGAATTCAAAAACCTTGGAGCTCTTTGTAAGATAGTCTGTGAACTACATGCTGCTCTTATGATTGTAAAACCAACATGTATGAAAGTCTATTTTAATCACTGATTTTAACCCCCTAAAGCAAGACATTTTGATGGCTTGATTTTGTTTTTTTTCTATTTTGTAAACAAAAAAGCTTTGTGACCTTTTAAAATCCTTAAATGGATCAAAGAAAACCCCAATGTGTACGTGGTTATTTTGACTTTAAAATAAAATTCATATTGGCGCCTACTACGTCAAACATTCAAATAAAATACAAATTCTCACAGTTTTAACTTACATCAAAGATGGAAATCATTGTGTGGTTTTGGAAACCAAAGCAATTCCAAGATAGACACAGTTGGAATTTTTTTATTTGACAGTGTTTTTCATATACTTAGTAACATCAGTGTGAAGTAGAGTGTGCATTCTAATGGAGAAGGAAGACTAGGGGAACCTTTTAGGATTAAATTCAGCTAGGTTATAAAGTTACGTACACTTGCAATGGGTTTATACAGCAGAAGAAAACTTTAAGAATAATAAATTTTCTCATTTTTGGATATGTATCTAGACTACAAAGAACTATTTCTTGAATATGTTGTTAGTAATGCAAAATATCCTGTATATTATCCTGCATAATATAATAATACTTATATTTCTTTTGGCAGGTTGTCAAGTTGTTAAGTAACAAAAGATCTCAAGCTGTTGGAATATTAATGTCTAGCCTTCATTTAGACATGAAGGACATTCAGCATGGTAAGTGAAATAACTATTGATTATTCTCAGATCACATAATTAATTATCTGGAAATGCTAAATATTTATATCTTTTGATATATAAAATAAATTGAGGCCTTTTTTACACTTTTTTTTCTGAAAATAGCTTGTTCTGCATTTATATTCCCCCTTCAGCATCAGCTGTGTAAGTGGTATATAATATAGACATTTTGATTTTTGGTTTTTCTGAGGAAGAAATGATGTGTTGTTTATTTTAATTCAGATAACCTTGGGACATATCCAGAAAAGTGAATTATAGTGTTTAATTTGTTTGTTTTATAAAATAGTTTCTATATTTGGGTTAGCACAAACTGTGGTGTTCTTTCATCTGCAACAGCATTTTTTACAAAGCAAGATCTTCTAGGGGAGCGTAATACTTTTCACATTTATGCTAAGAGACAGTAGTGCAAAAAGGTGAAAAGTGGAATTGCATTTATATTCAGAGCATCCCTTATGTTTCCCAAAGGCTTTGGATAGATTTGAAGCAGATTGAATTATCCTGTGAAGTGCCAGCCTATCTATTAAATAAATGTGGTTTCAAGTATAACACAGACTTCATAAATCACAAAAACATCTTGTGAACTTTCTAGGCTACATATTTACAGCCATGCATTCAGTTTACTAGGATTTGCTTATTTTGCGAAATTATTCAGAAATAGAACAAATTTGAGATCATTCTGTCAGCTAGTGAGTAACTCGTAATCACAGTTTTAAGGTTTTATTAAACTGTTTTGATGGTTACTTGACTTCCTCAAGCTGAAGCACTTAAGATGGTAGTCATAGAGCAAGGCGCCAGTGCTGGCGCCAAGAAGTACTTGGTATTTCCAAAGCTGGCAGATGTAGTTCAGTTAAGTCATAGAGCAAAATCTGAAAACAATGATATGGTCCTTTCCTTCAGTCAAATATTCAACTTGGTTTCAGTTAATAATGAGAACCTTATGAAAAAAGGAGTCCGCCTAACATCTGTGTCTGTGGTAAAGCCAACACAAGTTCATTGAAAATTTGCTTGCTTAACATGCAACACTAACAATAACATGGCATGAATGTCAGTAGTTGAAGGGGTCAAACAATATTATTCTTAACCTTTATCCTATTACAATATTAAGCACACATGATCATCTAAGAGCTGTGTGCAGATTTTGGATATTCCTCTTTCAATAGCCGTTTTCTAAAACCGAAAGTCCTTGCAAAAGCGAATTTAATAGTTCTTCTATTCCCTTGCTGTGCAGAAGTGATTAAACAAACACAAGAAAACTTTTTTCTGGTGGGCGAATTTGTGAAAATGATTGGTGCTAGAAGTCTCTTCTTTTATTTTCTTTTTTTGAAGAACATAAAATAGGCATGGAGAAAATGTGGTGAGGAGCAGGAAATACTTGCATGGTGGGGACAAGGAAAATAGAGATATTGCCCAGAAGTATTTTTGGCATCAGTCACTCCATGCAGAGGTCTCTGAGTGATCTAACCATAGAGCCCATGCAGAAATGATAGAATCAAAACCCCAAGTATTTAGCTTTACCTTTATGTATGCAACGTTGTTAATTCTTTATTAAAAATAAGGGTTTTACATATTTTTGAGTGCTAAAACATTTAGGATTTTCTGCTGCAATTTGAACATACTAACAACAATATACTAACAAAAGTTCAAATAATGATCAAGTGCCTGCACTAACAAAAATAGTTGATGTATTTGTAACTTTATTATTTAAGTTGTATGACAATGAATACAGTAAAAAATGTGATCAGTGTTTTTTGTGCCCTAGCCCGGGGTAGGCCTTTTAGCAGTGGTCTTGAGATTTTTCCATGTTTGATGTACACCGACATAAAAATTTACACATATCTCAGTACACTACAAGCAATTGTTTTCCATAAGTAAGGAATGCACTCAAATTAAACTTTCCCCCCAACCCCCTCCTTACAATTTGTGATACCAGGTAACTTACAGCTTCTTGTAAATATTCCCTATATCAAACATAAAGCATATTTTTAGGATGCAGTGTTCACGCAAATCACAGAAAAGTTTTTTGTTTTTTGGTTTTTTTTACTGGCCTCAGAAAGGCACCCAGGAGGAGAGAGAAACTTGCAGTGCTGAGTGATATTACATTTCTTGTTTTGTATGATATTTACTGTGTTGTATTTTTCTGGTGCTTTAGAAAAATTTTGAAGTTCTACATGAACAGAGGGAAAACAATTATGCTGGGTACTAATCCACCTAATAAATTCAGGATTTCAAGTTCTAAATCCGATTTTGTTTAGATGAAGACCTTAAAATAGCTTGAGACCTGGTCAAATGTAGTATTTCATGTCTTTTTAAATTTTTGTTCTTTGGTCGGTGTTTTTGGTGTGATTTCACTTGCTTTTTAAGATACAAAATACAGATGAAATATTGTCTGAAATAATATTGTCTGCATATCTGATCAGATGTGGCATTTAACAGAAGATCTCAGGATATTGTAATACATCTTAAATAGTTGTATTTTATTGCATGGTTGTTAAGTGTCTGCTTGCAGAATTGCATTTGTCTGCTTCCAGCTTTGGAAATAGGTTTAGTAAGACAAATGCCCAGAGCCTGTCTGCTTTTAAAATATTTTTACAGTGTGGAAGGATTAGTTGTAATAATCAGAGCACATTTGTTCTGTACTCTAGTATGTCTTTCTAGTAGTGCTTCAAAGTTTGCTAGATTAATTTTTGTTGTTGTGGAGATTTTTTTAGTAGATTCTAATTCCTAACAGAACTCGCATCTATTTTATGCAGGTAAGGCTAGAACTGTAAGAAATGTTGGTCCCTTTAGTTGCAGTGCCCTTTCTCTGGTATTGGTATAAAAATGAATACTCGTGGTTTCTCTGATTTCACGCAAGGTCTTACTGATGCCTGGGTTTTTTGCAATCATCTATCAACTATGCAAAACACTTTATCCAGGCATTTTGCTTGCTTTTGTGTTTTCACTCCACCACAAATATCCTTTATCCAGTATTATGTTCCCAGTGGAAATATTGCTGTATTTGGCTGCATGATATGGCCAAAACTTGAGAAATGCCAAACAAGCACTTCTTACCTCTTTTTCCTTTATAGTTCAGATTTTCTTCCTAGAGAAAAGACTTGGGGTTTAACATTAATGTTTTTGGCAGGGGGCATTTCTTAACATTTCAGAGATGCAAAGTGTGCTCAGATTAGGGGACAAGATTCTGGTGTAACTGTATAGAGTAACCTATGATGCACACCTTATGCATTAAAATATAATTGTTAAGCCTGTGTCTGCATTTCAGGACTGTGTCTTGTAAATAAGGTATCTTTGTTCAAGCTGTCTGTCAGCACTTGAAATATAGCAACTGTTTGACATTGCAGCCATGGTGCAGATAATAAATTTGTCAGTGCCTTCCTCAATCCCCTTATTTATAAAGAAACAGTGTATCTTCCTTTGTGTTTACAACTGATAATACGTTCAGTAAGAACAGCAAAAAGTTCTGTGTGTGTATAAAAATAGAAGGAAAAAGTTAAACTGAAGATGTCAGCCAGGAAAAAAGGTAAACTGGGTATTTTATGCACCTAAATATTAAATTTATTACACAGTGAGATTTTAATCTACTATTTATTACATGTATGGAAATTATTCCTTGGCACATGAAAATTGTCTTAGTTCTAAGCATGCCTCGTAAATGTTGAAAGTAAAAGCTTCTCAAAAATGGCATATGCAGTATCTTTGTGTTTTGAAGTTGTCTGTTATCTTTTCCAATTGATTAAGTTTCTCTCAGCAAGGTTTGTCACTCCAGGGACTGTGTTGCTACAATACTCTAAACTATTTTTCTGTAAAAGTTTGCATAGCACCTTGTGGTTGCCCTGCCTCTTTTGGAAGTAATTTGAGGATTTATGCCTCTGAGTTTTGGATGACTTTTCATTTTCTTCATTTAATAAGTCATTTTTTCCCTCTCTCTGAGACACTGGTAGTCTGCAGAATTTGATGGAACTACCTGTTCCACTCTGATATCTGCAGGGGGGAAAAGAAAGGGAAGGCCAAGACACTGTCTATTACAGGCCTCCAAAAAGAATGAACTTGGAAAAATAATTAGAAAAAGGGCAGGACGATTCACCTAACAGCTGGTAAAAACCAACCCTGTAATCTGAATTTGAGCTTATTTTACTAGAAGTTATATCTGCAGCAGAGTTTGTTCTGCTAACAGCAGTACAACTTTGAACAACAAACATATCTTCTGCCCTGAATTCAAGACAGATGTGCAGGAAGTGAACATACTTTAAATGTGAGCAAGAAAAAGAAATGTTTATTCTTCGTATTTGACTATTAGTGACAAAAGAAAAGAGAAAATCTTGGGTTTGTTTGCTTACTTGACCACTCATGCTGACATGTAGAGATGATGAGCAAGGAGAGACTTTGTCAGAGGTTTAACTAAATGATTTCACTAGAGAAGGATGATAAAACGTCTCTTACACTGCATTATTTCAATGTTCTGAGCAGGATTATTAATGTATTGAACTATCAAGTAGTCTAGGTCCAAGAGATGCTCAAAATGGAAAGCAATCAGAAAAGAATGACTGAACATCTGGAAAATAAGACTCAGGATTAGTTTATTTCATAGAGAGTCCAGAGGTGATCTGAGTATTATTTATCCTAACAACGTGTGTGCATAAGTACAATCATTTGAAACTTATAGTGCCCATTCTTCACAAATATTTCAGTACCTTCCTAAAACATATCTTTCTGATTAAACAAGTTATGAGGACAAAACAATACATGATTGGATCAAGTTATCTGGCCACTGTTTACTAGTATAAGTAACCTGCTGCCCAAATTTGTTATTTCTGTCCATTTAAGTTATGGGGGAAAATGTTGGCTGTAGGAAGATATCCAGACCTTTTTTTCTGTTAGGTGGCAAGTCTGTATTTCTTTATTAAATTGATGATAAATAAAGTTCTTGCAATCAGTGCAGGTTAATTACAAAGTCTGAAACTTTACCTGTCACTTCAGGA